CCCATGCCATAATGGCGCCACCCCCTTACTTCACAGTCGGCAAGAGGCAATCAGGATGAAATGCTTCTTTGGGCGTTCTCCAGACGCAACGCATCCAGTTATCTGAAATAAAGTGAATGACGATTCATATGGCCATATTACCTGTTGCCACTGTTGTGGGGATCAGTCTTTGTTATCTCTGCACCATTGGCATCACTTGAAAGCATTAGTTGCTTTGAACAAGGGTTTACGAATGGCCATTCTGCCATAAACGTTCACAGCATGAAGTTCCCTTTTGACAGTTTTTGTTGAAATGGGGTCCTGGAGATGACTGTTCATTTCGGATGTTATCTCGGATAACGACTGCTTGTGCTTTCAGGCTACTATACACTTCAAGACTGGTCTATCCCTATCAGCCAGCTTTGAATTTCAGCCACTGTTGTGCTTTGAAGACGTCGTCTTACCCTCTTTTGTGTACGCTGTCATAATGGCTGATGCCATACTCCTTGCACACCCCGCAAGGTTTGCTGTTTCCGTAACTGAGGCTCCACTTAAACACGCTCCAACTATCATTCCTCTTTGGAACTCTGACATTTCAACTTCTAACAGGCAGTTTGATCAAAACATGCAATGCAGGTGACTGCTGTTGAGAGACTGATACCTTCCCCTTCCTGCTCACTAGGTGGCACACTTCTGTTGCAGGTTGCGCGGCTGTACTGCAGGTGTGAAATACGTCATACTTTTTCACAGGTGTTTGCATTATTTTGTCCTCCATCTGTAGATATCAAATAAGAATTCCCTGGTTAGAAGGTCATTATTTATTGTTATACAATAAAAGTTTTACGTATGAAAAGACTGAAGAACAGTGAGATTCTTTAATTCTCCATGCAAGATAGAAGCCTGCCAACAAGTATTTAATGAGTGGGAAAAGGAAAATATTATTGAACAAATAAATTCGAGTGATTTACGATAGGATACGAATGGTCAAATTTCAAACTGATGCCAAATGGAGAAGCTGTAAATTCAGAAAGATTATTAATATCCTCTATAAATGTAGAGAAAACAGACTTTTTCTATCAAATATCTTCATGCAAGATAATAATTAAAATTGCAGCATAGATTTAGTTACTCATTTGTCAAGAATTACTACATGACTTGTTGAGAAAAGCAAGGGCCATTAACAGCAGGAGAAACTGAGAAAGCAGAAAAGTTTAAAGAGAGTCCAAGAAGCTTTTTCACTTGGGAAAGATGAAAAAGAGTACGGTCTCTAAGAAACAATTACTCATTCAAAAGGATTATTAAGAGTGAAGATAAAAGTTTTTATGCAAAAAGATTAAGAAAATTTTAGACTTCCTGCAGTATTACCTTCTGATCACCAAACTTTTAAAAGATTAATAATGTGGAAATACCAAGAACTGGAACAAAATATTTAATGTCAGCATTGCGAGATGATTACTGAATACTGAAGAGTAGGAAGACAATCAAGAAAATCAGACTTGTTCTGTTAGTAAAAATACAGCATGAAACTGGTGAATGTTATCTATTGGATAATTACTAGATGATCATATTCGAGAAGCTTTAGTTTTTGAAGTCGCAGAAGTGGATCTCTGTGGTCCCTTGCATTTAAGAAATGCATCTAAGAGTTGAAAAGTATTGTTTACTTGTGCTGCTTATTGAGCTGTACACACTGAAGTAATAATATCATTGTTTAGGGATAGTTTCCTTCTAGCACTAAGAAGATTTATTGAGAAGAGGTCCCTCTAGATATATCTATTCCAACAATGGAGAAATTTCACGAGAACAGCTAACTGGTCCATACTGCAGGAATTCACATCATTTAAGAGAATAAGTTGGAAATTCAACCCACCATCATCACTATGGTGAGGTGGCTTTTGAGAGCATCTAATAAGAATGTTAAAAAACTTATTCTGACAAGTTTTAAAAATGCTTATCTAGATTATGACCTAAATGCAGTACTTGGCAATGCTGAAAATGTCACGAATAATAGACTCTTGTCTTACATCTCTGAAAATAGCAATGATCTCAGACCCTTAACTACTATAATATTCTTGCAAGAAATAAAAGAAGCAGGAGTTCTAGACTTGAATCTAATTGATTCAAGCATTATGCTTATAGGCAAAGAATTATAGAATAGCTCAGAAATGATCTAGAACTGAATATTTAGGACAGCTGAGAGAGAATGTAACAAGACCACGAAGGAATATAATTTAGAGGAAGGGAATGTCGTCCTTGGAGATGTTAATGTGATAAGAAACAACTGGTGTTACACCAAAGTCGTTAAAATGCATTCAGGTAAAGACGGAAATGTATGTGAGGCAGAAGTCAGACCAGACATGGGACCTGTTAAGAAATTATATACATTAGAAGTCAGAGACAATGACAAACTATCAAAAAACATTCCCAGATGTGACCAGTGACTGTAGTTCAATTCCAAGGATTGGTTTGTATACTTGGTTATGGGAAAGCACTCGGGGATGCCTTCATGGAAGACTTTCTCATGAAAACTGGCTCATATACATGTTACTCATGGGGAAAACCACAAAAACACCCATGCAACCAGCCTGTTTACTGGGATTCGAACCCCGAAACAAACTACCAATGTTCAGTGACTTTAGTGCTCGGCCGGCAGTGGGCCTAGTAAAATGTAAAAGAGGGAATGGAAGAACCTGTGGCTTTAAAATTTGTTCAGTTTCAGTTATAAATTTCTCAATCTCAAATGGGCAGAATATCGCCAACATTCTCCTAACTCGGTAATTGTGAGTGCAACTTTTGATTTTGATTTGTAGCAAAGTGGATTTTTTGGATGTGCAGAAATGCTGCGAAATGTGTTTGTAACTTTAATGCTTTATTAAATTTTTCAAAATATGTGATCATTTTTCTGAATTATGGTAAATTTGAAATTTCAGCAAAGATATTTACTATCTGCAGACCCATTTACAGAAACGGTAGAAGAAACTTCAAGATGAATATTCACTGTTCCATTATTGAACTTTCAATTTGCTATGACTGGCAGTTAATTACTTAACATTGAGTACTTCTAAATGAACAGAACCACTTCCCAAATTTTGCATATTTTTTACACATGGATATACATAATTTCAGTGCTTTAGCGAAATTGATTTTGCAAAACTTTACCAAATATGCAACCTAGATTTTGAAGCTGTCATCAAACAGTTCATGCTAGTTAAGCCAACAACTTCTTATTTATAACTTACACTGTTCACTTGTTACAGCTGATTTATATTTCGTAAATGAAGTTTATTACAATTTAAAAAATTATTATACAGTATTATTTAAAATAATCATAATACAGTATTATTTATAAATAGTCATTTGGTATACATAGCTACTGTAAAATATATTATGGCTTTCATCATTTCTTCACCATACCACAACTGAATTAAACATTTAATCCACAACCAACATAGCGACTGTTGATTCAGAAGTTTGAAAAAATCTGGCTGGATTTTTTAAAGTCTGAAGTGAGCTAGCTTTATGAAGTTTTAATTCACAATGCCAAAAAAAGATGGCAATTCTTGCATAAATTGCTGCGAAAGTATGAACAAACTTTGTCTGAAAACAGATTCGCTGCTAAATATTATTCATCAATAAACAAACCAAAGCCAGTATATGATTAAATGTATGCAAATCAGGACTGCATGCATCCATAATTGTTTGCTTTATATTTTTGTTCTGAGAATAAATTATCTGGGAATCCTTAAAGCAAAAACCTACAAAATCACACAACTGTACAGCATGGTCTAATATCATACTTTGCATATTTTCATTCATAATTAGCATATTACATATTTTCTTTATCTAAAATATTTTAGCAACTATTATTTAAAATCACTATGTATATTTAGACAAGCAGTTTTATACACATTTTCTTTTAAAAATATTCCAAATTTAAGGTTGGCAAGCCTTTCATAGCACAAGGCAGAGTTTCTCTTTTAACTTTATGAGCCACAGACCTCCCTCTGTTTGAATTATTTTTTTCTAATGCACTCGTAACTGTTTCTGAATATGTGTTTATATAGGTAACTTGATTAACATTATATAATTGGTATATGATACAAATAATTAATTATATTGAAAAATAGACTTATCTAACATTTATTTACTTGCAAAAATTATTGATATAAATAATAGGTACTACACTATTTTAATTTCTAAATTAACAGCAATAATCATAATACAGTTTTATTTATATAAAAGTTTTAATAATAATAATGAAATTAATGGTTAGAGAAGTTTGATGGAATGTTAAGGGTGTGTCAATATTACAACTAAGATTTACTAATGTTAGTGACAAATTTGTAATTGTAAAATTCTAAATAAACACTAATGTTAATGCTAACTATTAAAATTTATTAATACAAGTCAAATTTTACATAATTGCTCTCCTTTTCAAAATTTCCCATACAGTATTGAGAATGTTCAACTCAAATCGATGTTGGAAATGGTATTATTAGAGAGGCTGTGAGTGTGAAAACTCAGAAGGTGTTCTCTACAAAACAGTTTAAACTTGATGGATAAATTATACCTAATATTATACTATTACTTTATAAGGACTGACGATATCGTTGTCACCTTAAAACTAAAACTCTTCTGCTTTTCCCTTGAAGTTAATGTCTCCTACATAATTTAAATGCTCATTTTCAAAAACCTTAATTCAAGGGGGCAACATTAACTATATCATTTTAAGAACTTTAAAGTGCATATTGAAATATATCTTCAAATTTTAAGAAATGAAATAAAATCTTTTCACTGCATGCCCTATCCATGACTTTTTATTAACTATGCCAATTTGACAGGGTGTTATCAGTATGAGAACTTTCAAATCTAATTTGTCTGTCATTCATTCATTATATAAAAATATGTTAATAGAGCATTAATTTATTTTACAGAATACAATAATTCTACATGCTTTATGAGGCAATATAATTTATCGACACATATAATGTAACGAACAACATCCAAGATGAAAGGGTACATACCAAGTAAAACCAAAGTTTTCCTTTTATATCCAGGTAACCTCACTACTTCTTCATATGTTACAAGATCTAACTGATCGAAAACAGCATTATGCTTTGCTAAGTATTTATCTCTATAATGCTTCTTTTTCCGCCCAAAAAATGAACAATTAACTGCAAAAAGAAAGTAATAATTACTCAGTGATGACATAGTTTATTATTGCATGTAAAATGTCAGATTTGGTAACAAAAGCCTCAGACAACAGTTAACTTTGTTAAAACTCATTTTTATAAATTAATACAGACATCATTATGGTTCTTTCATTGAGATTTAAGGGTATTCCATGCCAGTTTTGTTGAAGTCTGATATTCCAAAGAAATACCTCAAAGTGTTTTTGAAAGCTGCATCATTATTGAACCATACTGCCACCATAAAATGATCCAAATGCTGAAAAAGAAGTTAGCTGGCAAAAGATCTAACAAGTATGCTGGTTGAGGAAGCATTCTGGTGCTAATTTTGTATTTTTGATCATTTTGATACATGTGAGATAGCATAATTTTGTTGCTGTTGATCAACTTACGATGCTTAATGCATTATTTCAGATGAACAAGAAAACTGACAATAACATTTTTTCAAAAGATTTGTACAATTTTGGTGTATATCTTGAACTTTTAATCAACTCATCAGTTAATTCTTCAACCAGACATAGCAATAATATTTTCACGATCTTATGAAAAAGTACTAATAATGTAATAAAGATTCCTTTTAATCTATCTCAAGAAGGCTGCACATAACCCCCCCCAAAGTATATCATTTGAAACAGAAAGAAAGAATATTGACTGACGAAATATCCTACATATACAGCAAAATTTTTCAATTCAAATTTTTTAACTAAAATCATTGTGGGTTTAAAGTATGTCATAATGAAATAGAAATACATGTGCCTATTACAATAAAACAATTTACAGGGTAAGAAATGTCAGTTTTGTTGCTTTAATGAAAAACACTAGATAATAGAAAATGTATGCCAGAGAAAATTTTGTCAACACAGTCTTGAAAAACAAATAGAAGAAAATAAAGTTATATAAAAAAAATGCATGACATGATCTTTCAAAACCTTTCAGATGTCAAATACACAGCCTGATTTGTCTGGAATTTTTTAAGATAACAGAAATGTGATCTAGTGTTGTATAAATAGCATGCTAGATGCTATAAGATTAAATTACAAAGAGAAAATCATGAGAACGCTAAACCAATCCAAGACAAAACTATTGGTGGTCTGTGGCCTCAACTGCATAGACTTACGCTGACAAATGTATCCTAAATCTATACTAAAATTGTTTTGGTCCATAATAGCTCCTTAAATTTAGAATGACTAAGTTTATCAGATACCGCCCCCCCAAAAAATTTCTTTCACAAATCTTTTTTCTATGATCTCAAGATGTATTTAAATATTGTCTTAAAACTTAATTGAGAACAAGTTTATGCACCCAAAACTTTTCACTGAAAAGAGGAAAAATATTTTATCAACACAGAATTCTCTACCATTCCACAAATTACTTAAGAGGATTTCAACTCATCAGTATTTTAAGCATTGTCATGTTACATGGAAACTACACAGTCCAGTCACATTAATGTGACCATCTGTCAAAAGCCAGAATAACCACCTTTCGCAGAGCGGACTGCTGCGAGACGTGCAGGAAGAGAGTCACATAGGTCCCTGAAGGTGTTCTCTGGGATGTTGAGCCATGCCGACTAATGCCGTGGCCAGCTGCGCTAGATTACACGGTTGAGGATCCATGGCGCGAACAACTCGATCGAGATGGTCCCACAGATGCTCGATTGGGTTTAAGTCAGGTGAGTTTGCTGGCCAGGGGAGGACGGTAAACTCATCCTGGTGCTCTTCGAACCACGCACGTACACTGGCAGCTGTATGGCACCTCGCATTGTCCTGCTGGAAGATGCCATCATCCTGAGGAAAAACAATGCGCATGTAGGGGTGAACATGGTCCACAAGGACAGATGCGTACTTGTATTGATCCATTGTGCCTTCCACAATGATCAGTGAACCTAGAGAATGCCAGGAAAACATTCCCCAGACCATAATGCTCCCGCCTCCAGCTTGGACCGTTCCGGCAATGGTTGCAGGGTGGTTCCTTTCAGAGGTTTCACGCCTTATACGCCAACGTCCATCTGTCCGACGGAGCATAAAACGCGATTCATCCGAAAACGCAACCTGTCGCCACTCAGTGGACGTCCAGCTGCTGTACTGGCGTGCAAATTCTAGCCTTCGCCGTCGATGAACAGCAGTCAGCATAGGTGCAGGAACCAGGCGTCTGCTTCGGAGGCCCAGACGCAGCAATGTTCGCTGAATAGTACTTTGGGAGACACTTTTGGTAGCCCCTTGGTTCATTTTGGTGGTCAGTTGCTCAACGGTAGCCCGTCTGTCTGCCCGAAGGCATCTCCGCAATCGTCGTTCGCCTCTGTCATCTATGGCCCGTGGTGCACCACATTTGCCACGTCGCTGATTTTGGACAGTCCCATTTTGCCATGCACGGTACACTTTTACCACGGCGGCACGCGAACAGTTCACAAACTCAGCCGTTTCAGAAATGCTTCCACCCTTGGCCCAAAGCCAATGATCATGCCCTTTTGGAAGTCAGATAAATCGCTTCGTTTCTGCATTACGCCAATGATTGAAATGTTTTCCGAAGCCCTCACACACCCTTTATATACGCTCAACTGCACTGTGCTGCCACCTGCCTTCTGTGATTGGTTATTTAACTCTGACATGGAAAGTACGTGGTGGTCACATTAATGTGACTGGACTGTGTATATGCTTACAAATACCACTGCCTTCTCTAGGATTCGAACCCAGGGTGGTCAGAATGGCAGTCAGTGCCACTAACCACTATACCAGCTAAATCAGCTGGAAAGTTAAACTCAGCTATTTTTTTTAATCTATTAAAATTAACACAGTGTGCAACTGTAATTCTCATATTTTTTTCAGACCATTCTATCTGGACTTACAGTGATTTTGATGATGGTACTTACCTTTGAAAGCACACTGGCTAACTCACTGCTGCATCTAGGCATATACTTGATCTTTAATTTTTTTGTTGATATTATTAGCAATGTTATTATTGATTACTAAGCTTACCACAGAATACTGATAAATATGTTTAGTTCAATGTTGCAGCTGTTTATGAACTAGAACTTGCAATCAAAACAAACTGTTTTAACTAATTTTTCTTCTAAAAGAAATTTTTGCATGGATATAAAAATACTTCTAAGAAAGCAAATTTTAATATTAACTCATTGAAAAAACTTTGCCTTTTTAGTTTTTGATCCCTTAACAAAGTTTAGAATTAAGTAAAACCAATAATCTAGAGATTGTATAGGTATATATATATATGCAATTTTTGATATTTGCCTGGATTCTTGTTAAACGGAACTGCTGAATTAATATATCGCCTTCAACAACAGGCACAGAAAAAGCAATTTATTTGAAATAAAACAAATTTTACCATCCTTCCAGAAACATTTTAAAAAAGTGTTCTCAAACAATCTAACCTCTGACAAAAAATATAACATAGTAAACAATTCAACACAGTAGATAAGTGTATTGCTAAATTTACATGTTCTACTATAAAAGAAGTATCAGCATATATCATACAGAAAATATAGAGAGACAGGACACACAGAAATGCTAATAAGAAAACGTAATGTTTCGAATATTTCAAACAAAAACTGTTGCTCTTTTCAGAATACTGCACATACATATTAATCTCATAAAAAAAGAGAAGATTTAAAGGTTGAGTAATTTTTGTTTTTGATATTAGCATAAAGTATGAATATAATGTAACCTTGATCATTGCGAGATCGTTCCATTGCTAAACTTGCTACCCTCCATTCCTGAAGTTCTGGAGAAGGAATGAGACCAGCAGTAGTATCTGAGTTTTCTTTCCTTGCTTGCCACCAGTTGTGATCATCTTTACTGATTACTTGCAAAATGTCTCCAGTTTTAAATTTAATGCCTGCCTGAGGACATGGTATGAGATCATCATCTTTTGGATCATAATCAAACTGTGCCCGAACAAATATCTGAAAGTAACTTTTAATTACAACACTAAGATAAAAATTATATTTATTAAATAAAAGTATTTAACAATCATATAAAAAATTAAACTACTCCCAATAACAGAACTAAATATTTCCATTACAGGATATGCTCAAATGCTTTGAGCTTTGTATCTACTCATATATTCTTTCCATTAACCCCTTCGAGCCGGGTAGCGAAAACGTGCACTTATCGCGGAGGCCGGCAGTGTCTTCCGCGAGCGTCTCTCCAGGGGCCGGGGCTTTTTTGCTACTAAGCCTAAATCCATGAAATTTTCAAAGTATCAACGCATTGTTTAATAATGCTCTATAGAGTATTTAAATGGCTTATGCTTTATATATATATATATATACTTTAATTACCTTATTTCTTGTTTAAATGCATATTTTACACATTTTATTTTCATTACTCACCATTTTATGACTTTTAACATTATACACCTGAAAATTAAATATATTACTAAAAATTCTCTTTTCATATAAAAAATTTGAAAACGGGGATCTACACACAGTCCTATGTTACATTCCTTGCACTCATAATAACTCATTTGCCGTTTTGGAGGATTTTTCCGGGAATGTGAACAAACGAAGCATCGTCGTCTCATTTTCTTATCAGTCTCTTCTGAACAAAGTTTTGGAAAATGTCTTTCAGTTAATCTTTCAGAATCAATATCTGAAATATTTTGCAACGGTAAAAACAGAAAGAATTCACGTCTAACAAGATATAATTATTTTCTAAAAACTGAACTGTAAACGGAAATACTCAACGCTTTAGCGCATATAAAACTTCTATTTACAATAAACAACTACCACGTGCGAATAAAGTGCGATTTAAAGAGACGTCATAAATCACGTTATTCAGGAACATTTAGTTCCCCTTTTGTTTATATAATCAAAAACATGTGTATGTGAGTCATGCTTCTCTCATTTCAAGTAGAAGGTCTAATGTACATGTATCTGAAACCATATGGACATACAGTGCCACTTTGTGGCAGAAAATTATAGTTTGAAAAACGTTCCAGGACACAAATACGTGACAGTAGGTAGTAAACGGGAAAATGCTCTGTCACGCCTGCGTGTCGGCCGGTAGGTGAGTGTGTTCGTTGCTGGCACATAGACGTGACAGTTGGCGCGAAGGGGTTAACATTTTAGTATGATTTAGAAACTTGTCCTCCATAGGACTAATATAAAAGGTAGGGAAGCATAATGAACAGTATTTCTTTATTCCCTAACAAAGGGTCTCTTCCCCACGATTTTTCTCTTCTGATTTTTGTCTGTCAAAATTAATGAAAAAGAAGCCAGAATTACACAAGTAAAAATCCTATACATACATCTATCAATAAAAATTATTTGCTATATTGAGAATGTGTAGAAGTTTTTTCATTTTTATTGTTGTAGATAAGATTATATGAATATGGAAAAGACACAAGGGCTATTTGCTTCAGAGGAGGGATGTCTTTGAGGAGAACTTTCTGAAAGAAACTGGCTCTTATTCGCATTACCATGCTGCCACGCCATTTTCCTGGAATTAAACCCAAACCAAATCAAACCTGGAATCAAATAAATCTGAACTATCAGTATTCGAAGGGCACAACCACTCCACCAATGGTTGACCTTTTACTTTTGTAACACTTTACAAATTGAAACTTTCTGCCTGTATTCATTAGCTGGGGACAAGGCAATATGGCAATGCCCAATATTCTATCTAATAAAACATGATGATACACGTTGGTATGAATAGTACATGCTACCTTTAAATGATGAATAAGTACAAATACCATCTAGGCCATAGTGCAAAAGGGAGAGAGTTTAAATGGCTATAATGTTCTGTCATTACGTATATATAATTATTAGTTTGTCATTTCAATCATGATGGTAGGCAGCCGGAAGATAAAAAGGTCAAGATGTGAGGAATTGAAAGATGAGGCCCTGCTGGAAGTGAAAAGATTGCTGTAGCAGAATTGGTAAAGTCAGAGATCCACAGGATGTTACTAATGAAGCCAATTTACATCACACAATTTGAGGCAGTTTGTAAAAAATTAATTAGAAAGAGAAGGTGAATTCATTGATGTTTCAAACCCTGCCTGACATCCAGATTTTTGCATCAAGTACTAATTTGTGATGAGAAGAAAGTTCTCCATAAAAATGCCAAATATCATTAGACTGTTTGCAGGCTAGGCATATCTCCAGTGCACAGCACAAAATCAGACTGACACTTACAACACTATGCACTTGTTTAGATTCACAGAAAGTTATAAAAGTCTAGGAGGATGGGATCTTTTTATCTACAAGCTCTGTCATCACTGGAAACTGCACCATGAAAATACCACTTTTTCATGCATCATGTGTAACAACTTTTGTCAAGGGCAGAAATATGATGACATAAAGAATCTTCATAGTAGGTTATAAATCTTTTCTCATATGGAAGAAGATGAAATGTAATATAGAGGACTGGAAAAGTTATCCAATAAAAGTCTTCTGAAACATTATGGAAGACTTTCATTTGAACTGCACAAACCTATTACCTACTATAGAGAAATTACAAAAAACACAGCATCTTAGAAACACGTAACATACAGGAACTCTTGAAAACTGTATACACACTTTTAAAAGCTTCTCACTTACTGACACTTCCTTTCTTTACACTCACAACTCACCTGAATCACAAAAAATAAACTAAGAAAAAAATGATACACATAAGTGCTGCAGTAGCAAGAATAATGCAGCTTAATAGCAAATACAATTAAGAAGAATGTTTCTTATTAAAGTGACTCAACATTTCCCATACACGGGAGAAGTCTGAAGCTATTAATAGAACTATATGAAGTGTCTATAAAAAGCATTCCCGAATAGTCACAGCATGCAGAACTGCTGGAAAATCTCCAGGAGATATTTGTCACCTGTTTGGCAAGTTGTCCATGAAACAGTTATCCAAAACCCAAGCTTCCACTGCATTCGATGAAAACACTTCTATAGCATGAAGTTAAATAGAAATATTCTCAAATGCCATCTCTAATACCAGAAATATCTTGCCATTGAAATATGTGAATTTGAATAATAATGCATTTAGTATACATACACACATAAGTTATTTATTATACACACACACACACACATATACATACATATATATATGTATGTAATATTAATAAAAGCCGGAGCATTGTCGATGCGTAGTTATGCTAAATTGAAGAAGAATTATTTTAATTGCATCCTAAGCCAATGTGTTGACTTCGTAAATAAAAGTTGGCAGTCGAGGTGATTTTAATTCCATTTTTATTTGCAATTGATACTTGTGGCCACAATCACTTGGCACTGGCACTCTAGTCGGGCCTTTCCACAAATTTACAATTTTGATATTGTTGAGATAGAAAGTAAGCCAGCAAAATTACATCTTAGCAGAGTAGAGAGCAAAGTTGAAGCTGAAGTTATGCAAGATGGAAGCATGCGAAGAGAAAAGTTTTGGTTTGCAATTAGGTGATTGGTCTAGAGGCATCTGTATTAAGGGTTACGTAACATCACACGATTAATTTGAATGACGGAGTTAGACTTGCAATGCTATTTTCAGGACAGAGAGATGAAGTTCCCAAATGAAATAAAAAATAGAAAAGGTTATAGTGAATTAAGTTTAGAAGTTTGCTTTCATATTTTTTTATCTTACATGTTATGTGTATGTATATATGTGTGTGTATACACTCTATAACAAACAAAAAAAAAAAAAAAAAAAAAAAAAAAAAAAATCGCTGCACCAAGAAGGAGTTGTCGACGGAGACAAAAATTTGTGGATAGGAAGATTATGTACAGAATAGAAAATGATTAAAATTTCAGAACAAGTGATTTATTTCAGAGTTACATAATTACAAAGTAACAAGCTCAATAAAGTGTTTACCCACATCTAGCCTGGATACAAGCTGCCACATGGTGTGGCATAGACTAATAAAGCTCCTGAATGGTCTCCTGCGGTATTTCTTGCCAAATTTGATCCAATTGCTGGGTTAGGTCATCAACATTCCCTGGTAGATGCAGTCGCCTTCGCATCATATCCCAGACATGCTCAATGGGAGAGAGCTCTGGCAGGTCAGGGAAGTGTTTCAGTAAGACAAGTTGTAAGACAGTTCATAACAACATGTGCCATGTGTGGACTGGCATTATCTTACTGAAAAATAAGGCCAGTGTACTGCAAAAAGAACAGCATCAAAACAGCTCTCAAAATGCAGTTGACATATCACTGTGCTGTAAGTGTGCCTCTAATGATGACCAAAGGGGTCTGGCTATCAAGGGAAATAGCACCCCTATCATAACTCCTGATTGAGGGCCTGTATGGTGTGCAATAGCGAAATGAGGATTGGCATGCTGCTCTGGGCGTCTCTAGACATGTCTTCGATGATCGCCACAATACAGTTGGATGTAGGATTCGTCGCTAAAGATTATCCGTCCCCAGTCAGCATCAATCCAACTTGATTGAGTCAAGCATCACTGTAATCTGGCTTGACAGTGTTCAGGTGCGAGTGGCAGGTGATGTAATTCTCGATACGAGCGTAGATTTCGCTCTAGCAGCCACCTGTGAATGGTCATGGTGGGCACTCATGTGTGGGTCCCATGTCCGATGGTTAATAGCAACGAATAAGGTGCTCTGACAATCACTCTGTTATCCCAACCTGTTGTGGCCCTAGGTTGACCACTACCATGATGACGCTAAAATCTGCCATTGGCTACCCATTCTTGCCAGCATCTTCTAATCACTGCATCATTTCGACTCATATGACATGTGATTCTCCAATTTGCTCAATGTGCCTCTTTCAATCTAATGATACATTAATCTACATGAACTTTCCACTCAAAAGCATATCAAAATAATGGAAAAAATCTGAGAAATTTACTTCACATTATTCAGTGATTTAAGCAGTAATTCCCAACCTGTAGCGGTAGATCTAGAGCTATGAGTCAGCTTAATAACAGAATCAACAGTAAATAATTATCAGCAATGGCAAGAAGCAACAGAGTTATAATAAATGCTCTTTAAAAAGTTAAAATTGTTCCTATTTAAATATTAAAGCATTATAATAAATGCTGTTGTAAAATATTCATAAAGTTTAAATTAGTTATTGAATGAAAGGAAGAATAATTTTCCATTTAATTCTTAACAGTTTTCAGTTGGTCACAATTATTTGAGAGCTGTCTAAAAAAAAGAGGTAGGACACATTATTTCTTTTAAAACAGTTACCATAATAAACAGGATGCTGTTCCTAATTAAAAATTTTATCTCTTGATTTCAACTTTAAATCTCACTCTGATATTAAAATATTAATCTCAGTAAAATAGCCTCAAGAATCACAGCAATAATCATGCTTAAACAACAGGTCGAGATTCCCTTACTAAGGTTGTTTTTAATGATATGCATGTTAAAATATTTCTCATTTTGTGCTTTTTTCTTTCTCATTGTGTGCTAACAACTATTAATATCTTCTTAGAGATCATGTCTTAAAGTTTAATGTGAGCAAATTTACATTTTAATTCATTTTAAATTGATTATAATTTAGAATTTTACTGTGATAAAACACTATTTCAAGAATGCTTAGGGTTTTTAATAATAGTTCTAGACCTCATTAATAGTCAATAGTGTCAATTAACTCATATTCTTAATTCCTTTTTATAAAAGCTGATATATGAAAAAAATTACTACACATTAATAATGTTATGTTTTGATTTGAATATGAATTCTCACTATATTTTGAAATAAATGATGAATGAATCAGCTTTTCTTCAATAATTTTTTCAGATATAATTCATTAGAGTCAGCAAATTTTATCATATTAAAATAATACTGTAGTAAGTTATACTGCAGGAATACTGGAGCGGCAAGTGGATCACAGGCTGTGGAGGCACTCAATAATTTTTAAGTTTTAATAAGAGATAAGCATAACAAAAAACGTTGGGCACCACTGATTTAAGGTACCATTTTGGGCATCACAGAGAAGGATATAACATTTCTGAGTTCTCTATGTAGCATTTCCAAATAGTGGATCAATCGTGAAGCAGAAATCCACTACCATGTGTATTTAGAAAAGATGTTATGCTAATGTGGCTTCAGTTTTAAATTGTTTTGAAGTAATTTTTATATTTATATTTGTGAGTGCAACAAAAATATAACTGAGATCTATTTAACTAGATATGCAATGACTCCAAATTGTAGCTAGACTTTTCAATAACCAGAACATGAACCATATTCAACAGTTTGAAATGAATGCAGTAAACCATGACAAAAGTGTTGCATTTAACATATTAAAATCTACAACAAAAGTAGTGGAAATTAAACTCACTTAATAGTCTATCACAAGGTGTAACAGAATTGAAGGCCACAACTTTAAGAGGTGATAAAAATGGCAAAAGTAAAATTCTCATAGTGTATGGTGGAATGCGAATCAAAAACATGTATGAAAAATACAGGCAGCAAAAAGGTATTTGAATCATGTTCAGTCATTATGGACCAATGCTTAACATGTGGAAATCTAGTCACTGGGGGGGGGACTTATATTGAGCTGGCATAATTCATAAAGAAGATGAACTCAGAAATTTTCTTACATACAAAGAATCAAATTGTTTTGCCATAAAATTTCTTATAGCCCTACCATTGTTCAAATACGATAGGAGTGTTAAAAAAATTAATGACTATTTAGAATTGCAGATAAAGATTACACAAATATGCCCTTAAACTATCACTGCAGTCTGTTACTTTAAAATGTGCACTTCAAGATCATGTTAACCTTCTATTCATTTATGACCAAAACATGTGTCATCATCACCACATAATGGAATTTTAGCTAATTAAAGGTCTCAACCATCTTCTACAGCAATCGACAGCTTGGTTGTAAGACAATTCAGAAGGAAGAAGTTTTAAGCCTCACATGGAAGAAAAGATGTTAAGTAATAACAATTCTGCAGGATGTTAGGTTGCAGCTTTTGATACACTGTGAGAAATTTCATGACTTCACAAGATTTCTTCTCAACAAGTGGAAAATGAATAAAATGTCAGAGAAGAAAGTGGCTGACAGGGTTGTGATAGAGCACGTTTCTCAGAGGAGACTCACAGCAATAAAAATTCACCAGAACATGCTCAACATTAGGAAATGAAGCACCATCATTTACAGCAGTTAAATGGTGGGCTTCTGGCTTTTCAAACATGAATATGAAAGCATTCTAGAAGAACCATGAGAAGGACATTCAGCAATGGAAATAACACAGGACAGCAATGACAATGTGATCATGCACAATTGCTGAATGACTCAAAACAGGCCTGAACGTTTATAAATCTCAACTAAACATGGGTATCACAGCATTCATCACACACTAGCTATGGACAAAATGTCAATTTGATCAGTCTCCAAAACTTCAAACCACAACAGAAATGAAGGGGAAAAAGAAATGTTAATTTTACCAGATTTTGTAATGAAAGACTCCATTATCAACAGGGAATATCGTGACAATATGATACACAAACTGAGAAATCATACTGGGGAGAAGATGCCAGTGAAAATTGAGAAAGGAGTCATCCTGCATCACAACAAGGCACCTTCTCATTATGCTGCAACTGCACAAGCTGCTCTGATCAATTGTTGCTTCATCTCCATTTTCCCAATCTTGCCTAGTCAGATTTTCATGTGTTCACTGCCATAAAACTTACCAGTGGCCAAGTGTTATGACTGCTGAATACTGAAAGTTTGACTCAGATTGTATCCCAGGCAAAGAGGCTAGCTGCGTGATTAGTTTCCATGATTTTCTTCATGCGTAACATGAATAGAAGCCAGCTTTCTCGAGAACACTGAGAGGAAAGTCCCCTACTATGACATCCCTTCGTTTAGACAGAAAGGTCTTGCATGCTTTTCCGTATATGAATAACATAATCATCACTACTATGAAAAATTCACATCAAGGATGTCACTTCAACATAGACAAAAATGTCATTGAAAGATTAATTTATTGATGTAAGATTCAGAAAATTTCATTCTATAAGATAATTGTACATAAATTGCAATACAGAATACATATGTGCATTGATATGGGGGTAATTATGTAGAGAAATCAAAATGGGTAAGAGCAACTCACTAAGATTCAAATTGGTTCACTATTTCCTCACATGTAGTTATGTTAGAAATACTTATTAAATCTATAAGGTCTACCAGAAGGTTCTGTTTGAGGTTATCTCAAGTTTCAATTCGCATGCATGTGCTCATTTGAGACATATATGGCTGCCTCTCTTTATCATTGCATTTACACACAAGTACTCTTAAATTAACTGAAACAAAAGAGTCTCATATCATTAAGTGAAACATGATCATGTAAATACGGCTATCAATAAAGTTCATTTAAAATACTGTATTCTGTACACATTCCAACATGGAACCAATGCTAAAGACGCATACGAAATTTAGTGAAAGTTTTTAGTGGGGATGCAATTCCAGACAGAACGTGCAGGAGATGATTTGAAAAATTTGAGACTAGGACTTTCAAGTCTTTTTTCATAAGCTAAGCTCAGGGGAAGTATCTTTCATTGATAAGGATGATGCCAAGACTATGAGAGAGCAAGACCCTTTTTGACAGTATCAGAGATTGCAGTAAAGCTTAACTGAGATCGACAAACCACTTGGAGCCATATTTGGAAACTAAGATTGTTCTATAAATATTCCAGATTGATGCCTCATGCATTAAGTAAGAAAACTTTGCATGGTACATCACACATGGCAAAATGCATATGCATATCTCTGCTTGCTCAAACTTTTGTGGACCAGACGATAATTGGTGATGAAAAGTGGATTACCTACAAAAACATCATACTCTAAGTCTGAGCAACTAGTTCCCTTCACCTCTAAAACAAGCTTGAGTCTGAATAACAGAATGCTATGTACATGGTAGGACATCCAAGGAGAATAACACTATGAGCTTCTGAAACCTAATAAAAAGCTCAATTTGGAGAAGTCAGTAAATGGACAATTTAAAAAAAAACACTCAAAGAGGCTACAGATCTTCAATAGGACACACTTCCTACTGCATCATCGTAATGGCAGACCGAATGCTGCTTTAGCAACTCATCAGAAAACTGCAGAGCTATGTTGCAGATATCAATTAAGCACAAGGTTACTCTTTGCCTCTCAAGACAAGACATTTTTCAAAAATGGCATTTACGACTTATCATCACACTGGCATGAAGTCATAAATTATGATGTAAATTATATTGCACAACAACTATTATTACTGCTCTAAAAAATGTATAATTTTCTTTCACCTCCCAAATGGATAATTTTTCAGTAGCCTTTATAACTGGAAAGACACTAAACAGGACATACAAAAGTTTTCCACAACTATGTCAAGACAAAAGCACCACATATTTAATATGAAATAAGAATATACATTACAACGAAATCTATGTTATAATAAAAAATTTAACACCAATAATTTCCCCTTTTTTGAACCTGTTCCCAAACATATTCCCAATTAAAACAATCATACAGAATAAAAGACAGTGCTCCACACTTTTATTTCTAAAGCAATGTTTAAATTGCAAGTAGAAAGTAAATAATACATACTTCACAGATTGGAGGGCCGGTTCTATAACTGGGAACAATTTTGAAAGTAACATTTCCTCTTGCATCTCGCTAAAAAGAACAGTAACATAAATATCAAGTGATATTATAACAGATTTCTCCTATACAAAAACTTCAAAAAAGACACCTTAAACAGTGTACATACTGTCCCTAAGGATTAGTTAACATATCAAAAGAGATCAGAATATAATTTTCAGTTTATGTAACTTTCATTGTTTAGGTTGGATTAGTCTTTTATATTTTTAAAATCAGCATTCACCACTGAAGGACAAAGGATTACTTTTATTAGCATGGTAATATTAGACATATAACTCCAGTTTTAAACAAATAAAACAGAAATGAATGTGACTGATTATAACTACTTACATCAGAAAATTGGTACCAGTAGGAAGAGGGCATCAGCATATTAAGCAAAATTATTTGTTCATATTTTAAGATTGTGAAAACATAAATTCAATCATTATTTTACCACTACAGTTACTATGTTTGTTAGCTTCCAATTGGATGACTGAAAAGTGTTCAGAATAAATGAGAAGATTCTTTGAATTTTTTCTAGACTATAAATGAACACTCCCTTACAACATGGTCATGAACATTAAATTTTACAATAAATGATTTATCAAACTCTAAATGGACACTAATCATCAAAATTCACTGAGGTTTTTGATCATCTGAATCAACATTCCCACGTTATTTGTTGTTAAAAAGAATAAAATAATTGACAATGTGACATAAGACAATCTATCAAAACACAAAATGTTATCATTTCTTATTTTGCTAATATCAGTCCACTGATGATTTCAACAGAAATTTCATTTCAAGTAGTACTATACTAGTTTCAAGTAGTCTCGATAAGACTAGATCAAGTGCACATGGAAGTGCAACTTGCAAACCAATTAGAAAAATGCAAATTCACTGACGGCTGAAAGTTTCAGTGACACTTCTTAAAATTTGTCAATATACTCAATGAAACTGACTTCAGAAAATGAAAATATTAACTATTGCAAAATCTTGAATGATGAAAAAACTGGTAGTCACTGGAAAATTTCACAGTGCACACATTTCACATAATATGCATAAGTAAGTGGCTAGGTTAATTTACTCACAGATATATTAATAGGACAATGCTCTCCTGCAAGTTTGTGATGAAAAGTTTCAGTATGAAAAACCTTGAGTTAGGGATTTCTTTACTCAACTATCAAGGAATGAAGATCCGTGATTGATATTTGGGAAGAAGAGCAGTTTTCAAATAATATTAGACATTTCCTCCTGAGTATAAACAGCAACTTTATGTTCTCGAAAAAAATCTTTCTCTTTCGAATTTTAAAGGGAACTAAAAAGTGACTTGAGCAAAAGAATAAAAAATAGGATTGTTTAGCAGTTTTAAATATTTTAGTGCAAGAATGATCAATCAGATTAAACTCTACCTTAGAACACATCTATGTAGTCTTTTGACACTTCACTTGAGAATTTCATCTTAAAATATTTAGAGATGACCAAGAGACATGATCTATTAAGTTTGCAAACAACTGGTGTGATATATGATTTATTATGATCTAGATTTTAACAAAGACCAAAACACTGCATGAAATCTTTGCAGAATGACCTAACTGGGCATGCAGGTTTGAATATTTTTTACTCAAAATTTTGCACTTGAACAATTTCTGGTGCTACTTTGGTAGACGGTTGCATGGATTTTGGCGATTTTTTTTTTTTTGGCGAGCGATACGACTTATGGTAAACCCATTGCTAGACAAGTTATTTATGGTAACCGATACTTTGTTGTCACTTTATTTAAAAAGTAGTGCGTTTTATATGCATAAATTCCATGTTTTAAATATTATTTATGGCTTCTAAATATTAAAAATCAAATTAATTTTGAATTTTTATTTGAAATAAAAATCTTATTGTTTACAATATTTTATGTTGTGGATGATGTAATGTATGATGTCGCATTACTTTAAAAGTAAATGGTTTTAATATCTATAAATTTAATATAATGTTTTAAACATTATTTATGGCTATTAAATATTAAAATACAATTTAATGTTGCATTTTTTAAAAGGATTTTATTATGTATGATTATTTAAATAATTTTAATTCTATTCGTGATGTAATCAGCTCTCTGACTGGTTACAGAATATTTGTGCATTTGTGCGCCATTTTAAAATTTTATTATTCATCTCTTCGAATTCCTTAGATTACATTTTTCAAATTTTTTTCTTTGGATTACATTTTTAAAATTATATTACATTTTTCAAATTTTTTTCATAGATATCTAAATTATGAATCCGATTTTTTTGTGGTACTTATCAATATATATATGACACATGTTAAATACTCAAAAAAATGCAAGTACATATTTTTCTTTTACTTTATAATTGTATACTTCAGTTTTTATTAAAAATTAACACACTGTTTTCAAAAATTGCTGAGATATTTACTGCCACATATGTTTTAATGTTAAATAATTATTGCACATGCAAGAAAATGCTGGGTGGTCAACCTTGCAGTTTATGCACAAGGGTGCAATTTTCATTATCGTGACCAACCTTCAAGCATCAAGTGCACAACAGGTTGCCAAGAGAGGAAATCTCTGAATGGCCGAAATGCTGGCATTGGAAGCACTCCATAGGGTTTGGAATGTATAGGATCTTTACATGCAATTAAGACATCCAGCCTTTATATTCTTTGGTAGATCAGGTGAGTTGAAAGGTCCGGATCATGTGTTTTGTGTCGATCAACTGGCCTTTGTTTTGCATTTTAATCCACCTATAACCACAGACATTTTGATCAGCCAGCTCAGACATGAACGCTTCTTCTGAAACAAACAGAAGGTCCACTTCCGAGATGACACACCGATAAAAATTCAGTGTCTTATACGCTGTTACAATGACGGTGGTTTGCTCACGATTGGTTATTAGAAGTAAGGAAGCAGACTGGGTGGCTGAAGTGTCATTGATAAGCAAGTCTCCAGAACAGATATGGTTTATATTTCTAGGATCACCAACATATGAATGAATATATTTATTTATTAAGAAAGGAGACATCTTATGTGGTTCATCAGAAGGGCTAGAAACAACAAGGAAATGTGGCCAAATTTTTCAATTATTGGCATTTATGTCAGAGAATATTTTTTTCACAGAAGCCTTTTCAGATGGTTGAGCATTTTGATGGACTTGACAATCAGAATTCATATTCACATGAATAGATATTTTTGATCCCATGTTGAGATGAAATATGATTTGGGTCTGAGCACTTCATCCACCATGGAGCCCAATAAGGAAACAGATTCCTGTGTTAGGGCTATACATAAATTGAAGCCCCACAGTCAGCTTTCTCGAAAGCAAGTACTCCCAAGAGCTTGTCCCCACTTTGGCGACACAAAGGTCAGAAGACTAGCCAATTGACATCCATGAGGACAGCAAAGTGCCTCCTGTTTAGCTGAAGCAGAGCCCAAAGCAGTGTATTGGAGACAGTGCCTCACCTCTCAACTGCTAGTACATTCCTTTTCAATGACACAAATCTTCACGGATGGCAAACATATGAGCATTTTATTGTTTCTTGAAAACTGGACGCAAGAGCTGTAACAGTTTCTTACCACAAACCTCAACCTCCAAAGAGGAAAACTGCAAGGGAGAAAGGAAGAAAGAAGTTACAGCTAAGAGGAGGGCAGACAGAAAAGAGGATAGATTACTGGGGCTCCAGGAATGTGACACCCATCTCACCAAGATGATGATGCCCTGAAGGGCTATGGTACCTCAGGACTGTCCTACCCCAAACTCATAGAAAGTGAGTCCCTGAGGAGTATTATTACAGACACCATATTTCTTTGAAAATAAGATTTTAACATTTTAGGTTAATTTTTAAGAAATAAAAATACAGGTGAATATTTATCTTAGGTACACCAGTAACATGTACAGTACAAAGTCCGTAATCTGGACTCGTCGGGACTTCGCCGATTCCGGATTAAGGGTTTTTCCGGATTATAGATCATCAATTTAAATCAGGTAAGATGGCATACAGAAATTATACAATTAAAAATATGAAACCGTAATTTATGAAATAAAGAACAATTATGATGTAAAGGGTATCAAAATTTACAAAAAGAAAAAGCTTAATATTTATTTGTTTACTTTATTAAACATTTCTTTCAATGTAAGTTGTTTAAGTTGCTTCGTTTTTTGTGCTAAACGCGCATGCATAAAACATTAAAAAAAAAGTTTGTGGCCTTGAGGTCCGGATTATAGATCATTCCGGATAATGGACGTCCGGATTACAGACTTTGTACTGTACAGTACACGTAAGCCTAAACTGAAATCCCTCACCTAGATGTGGTTATTTTAATTAGTTTTAGTTATGCAGTTTGTATATACAGTAATTACGTGTGTGGTTTATTTATTATTTAAACAATGTTATTATTCTGTATAATAATACATGCACACATATAGATATATATTAATGAAACTTCTTCCACTCATTCTTCAATTTCATCTATCAAAATACCCATTTATAAGACCCTACCAAATTTTAGAATGAAAATGCAGCAAAAAAGGGAGGGGATCTTATTTTCTAATTAATATGGTATAATTTACTTTCCTCCAGTTCAAATATTTTTCACCAAAACAGCAAACTGCATTTTGCAAAGATTAAATCAAGCAGTAATTTTTTATGTAAATGTAATTACTTTAAAATTTTTATCTGACCCAAAAATTACTACTACTTATTTTAAATTATAATGGCTCTAAAACTTTTTATTTGCTTATTAAAAACTACAATATATAAACAGTATGCAAATTGGCTGATCACTATATAACAACTAACATTAACTGTGCTCAACATTCCAGCCAATGACACTAAGCCAATAGAATATCAAAGACTCATTTCCTAAACATACACACAAATCATTTCAAAATGCTGATAGGTCCCTAAAAGAAATGCAGATTTTTATCCAGAAAATTAAGATTATTAAGAAATATCTGAAAACTTCTAAAATTAACAAATAACTGTGAAATAAATGTAAGAGGAAAAAATCATGGTACTTACTAACATCTTCTGAAGAGCATCTACTGTTTGATTTGCAACACTAACATTATTAATTTCTCGTATTTCATCCCCAACGTGCAAAGTAGCTGGACATGTTAAGAATAAAATGATAAAGTTAATATTCTCTGAAAATGGTAAATTCAGTAATAGAGATCATTCTGTTTAATTTCCATCATATAAATCATTATTGAAGACCTGGAAGGAAAAACCATTTATGACCACTGACAGGGATTTTGAAAAAATGGACTTTTGAGTGGAAAAACCATTCAAGTTCACTGACAGGGATTCTGAGTAAAATGAATCTAATTTGGGTAACTTCAATGATACAGGAAATGTGGTTACAAAACCATGCAAAAAATCCATAATGAACTTTCAACCTTTATTTAACAAAATTGTATTAAATACATATACGTATAAATATATATATATATATATAAATATATGTAATAATAAAATTCCATAGTCAAGAATACACTTAAAATTCTAACTGTATGTTCTTTTCATTTTTAATGGCGACATTCTCTTATTTGAAAGTATAAGGAATTAAATTCACAGCCCCGTAGTCAAGTTGTTTTTCCCGCCTTTTCTACACGTACAGTTATAGAATGTTCTGGAAGTATTTAAAGCGAACTGGATTGGCTGACGTCATTTCTTGGAAGCTCTGCCTTTCCAGAGGCTATAAAGGACTCACAAAAGATATATTGGGGCTTTTTCTTAAATGTCACGATGCAGTAAACTTCACACAAAAAGTTATTAGTAATTCTTTTTATTTACTCCGGATATCTGATTTTTGTAACTGCTATTTCTCCTGAATAATAATAAATGGATCCTGTTTTTTAAACTTATCGTCTGATTATTTAAGCTACGACTAAAGCTGATACATCACACATATATGTATTATATATACATACATATGCATTATATATATATATCTATATATAAAGGTACAAAATAGTACAGAAACGAATTTTCAATTTTTTTCAAGGTGTCTATAATTCTTTTCCCTCAGTTTCTTCTACGAATTTCAGGAACAAAGGCTTCTTTGCTGTTATAATTAGCTCAGCAAATGAGACTCTTTTACTGTCATTTTATTTTTTAGATCTCAAGCCAGATTTCCTTTTTCTTGCCTTTTAGCATGTTTTTACAATTTTCGGCAAGCATATCAATCTCTGTTTTCAATGCATCATAACATTACAAGTGTCCTTGCTTAGGTAACTGAATCTGATGTTAAACATGTAATTCAAAACGTCTCTGAATTCCTCATACGACACTGGATTGTTCAGACTGTACATGATGTGTAATATTGTTATGTTTAAATTTTCCAGCAGGTGTATTTTCTTACTCATTTTTAAGGAATGAGAAGATTTTCTCCTACTGAGTGAGATGGTACACTCAATTAAATAAGAGTTTCCTCTGGAATTGCATGTTTCCTGTTTCTATGTTTTTCTCTGTGATTTGCTGGTGCCTTTTTGTCAACAGCCAAAGCTTCTTTTATTTTTTAATTTGATTTTTTTTAATGCCATGGAATGAAGTAAAACCATTTATACAAACTGACAAATCATTACATGCCCATCTTGGAAACAAGGTGCTTGATAAGAGTAAGAAACAATGTGTGATGATACCTCATTCGCCGACATTTGAGAATGCCAGTGCATCACAGGCAAAAGCCTTATGACTGATAAGATTTTGGATACTTTAATTCCTAAATTCATTGTTTCCACCATTACAAATCAAAGGAAAACACCGAAAAAGTTTGCACTTTAAGTCACTCCGTAACTCGCATGTAACTGTAGTTTAAAACCTTCATAATATTGTGGATTCTCAAATTTTCTTCCTCTTATTGGCAGAAAACTCACTAAGCTAAATTGGGGCCTGCATTGGAAGCTTCACTTTCCATGTTCACAAGCACTACTGAAGAACTGATAGATGAAATCAACAAGTTCCCATTACAAGAAACAGAAGAAACATGAGTAAGGTCTGATAAAGAAGTTAGACATAAATGCATCTCTTGGAGCATGGGCAATTGATTTTCTCCAGTATGCAAAATTTTTGCTCGGTTACAGTTAGGGACATGAAATACCTTCTTTTCCCTGAAGCGATTCATAATGTGAAAGCTGTTGGTAATATCTACTAGATGGCATTATTACTTCAATTTTCATAAAAACTGGATATATAAATGGTTCCTGCCAGGTCTTCCATTGCATATCAGAATCAGCAAAATTAAATCAATTATTCTAGAACTATTTTCAATGATTAAAGATATTAGTATAAACATAAGCAGAAACTTCTGCTTCTACAAATTAGTATCAATACTATATTACTTTGAATCTAAGCCACAAATGGATTTTAAAATTGTGAAAAATAACAAAAAATTTACCCTCAAATTTTAGTAGTTATTTAGTAGGATTTTAAAATTGGAATAATAATAATAAATAATAGATATTGAAATAGGAAACAAGCCATATTTTTACACATACTAAAATAAATATAATCTAACTAATTTATTCAGAAATAAATTTAAAATATTCCCTTCAAATTTGGGTTGCATCCTTTGAATTTATGTCTTAAAAATTTGAATAAAACAAGCAGCTTAAATCTAAAGCAATACAGTAGTTATTTTCCATTTTTTACTAGTTTTAAACTGAAAACTACATACTAGTTTTAAACTGGAAGTTGAGTTTCTGTATTTATAACCATTAACAGCCCGAGCAGACTCACAGATTTTGGCTTTCTAAACTTGCACTATTCAGTGATTTTAATAAATGTTTGGAATTTTTTTAATTTGTAAAATGTTACGTCAAATGTCAGTAAAAAGAAAATATTTCTGGATAATTTTCCTTATCCTCCAGCAGAATTTTATTTTGCAAAATGTTTCCAGTTTATACCAACCTCTTGTTTAATGATAACAAGAAAATAGGCCACACCCAAAAGCACAGAACATAATACATAGTTTTGGAGATTTTGAACTGCAGCCTAGTGCAGTTTGAAACAAAAAATACATAAAAGACTGCACTGACAGTGCTTAAGCTATGAGCACTGTCAGTGCAGTCTTTTATGCATCACACAAGGTGGCTCCAGCTGTTATGATAAAATCTGCAAAAGTAGTCATTCAGGATCGCATGCAATCCTCAGAGCAGCAGCTTCTTTTTCACAGAAATCATGCTTCTTTATATAACAGAAAAAATTCCTAGCTTTTTTCTAATGATAATGCAAATTTAATTACATTGATAGATGAACAGAAATTCCACATGCTTTATCCAATTCAGTTAGCTGAAAAGACTTTTTTTGGGAGCAGGGGGAGATACACACTTGATTCATTAAATAGTGATGGTGGTGGTAATGGATTTATGACGCAAAGCTCTAAAGGCCAAATGCGCCAAAACACAGGACTTATTGTATATATGTTAGATAGAGAAAAAGGTTTAAAAACAATAGCACACTTGTAAAATCAACTCAAGTAGTAAGCTATTGAAATGGTGGGATGAAATGCTGATTAAGATTCAGATAAAGATGAATGCAGTATAAATTTAAAATCATAACACATCTGATTCATTAAAATTCTAACATAAAATCTCAAAATAAAATAAAAGTTTTCTTTCAGATATTGAAACAAATTGGTATTGACCTCTCTTCCGATTAAATGGTTGAGAGGCAGGTCACAGCTATTAAAATACTTCTGATGAAGACACTTAAAATATTGATACTCAATTAAAATGTGATGGACTGACAGAAAAACATTACAATTTGGACAAAAAGGCTCATTCTCAGCTTTTAGTAGATAGTTATGTGTCGCTCTAGTGTGACCTATACTAAGCCAAGTCAAAAGAACTTCTTCCTTGCGACTTTTAGTATAATCCCAAAGCTCTATTTTAGGCTTCACCATTTTTAACTTGTTACAAGATTGGAAGTCCCAAAGTCGCTGCCATTTTAAGACCCTTTGTTTGATGACATGACTGATATCTCTCAAAAGGATGAGGTGACCGGACAGTTCAACAGCAGATTAGGCTGCGATGTCTGCCAGCTCATTACACTTTATTCCTGTATGTCCGGGAACCCAGTACAGAATTTCATATCCATGACTTGTTAATTTAATTTCAACTTGAGTACATCCACTATCACAGGATTCTCGGTGCTGGAAAAAGATTCTAATGCAATGTAGGAGTCTGTATATATAATGAATTTTTTATGGCGTAATTGGAGGTTAAGACCGAGGAAGTGTTGTGTAAACGCCTGCCCTCCATGTGGCCACCAGTTATAAATGACATCTCAACATGACAAGTTGACTTAGATCCATCTGTATATGTGGAAAGATAACTGCTGTCTCTATGCCTGTGCTCAGCAAAAATTTGTCTGTAGATGATCTCATTAGTGATTGTTTTGACGTAACTGGAAAATATCAAGAAGCTGGATTTGTTCATTTTTCCAAAGTGGATTTCAAAATGTCGTACTGCTTGTGGGGACATATTAGACAGGGAGTATAATAATGATCTAAAGAGTATCAAAATTTACAAAAAAAAGCTTAATATTTATTTGTTTACTTTATTAAACACTTCTTTCAACTCGCGCATGCTTAAAGCATACATTACGCATAGTCGAAATTAGAAAATTGCAACCACAAAACTATTTGATGTGCATTCGTGATATTTATATTGACGAGGAATTTGATTTAAATCATATCAAAGACAGAGTACATCGTGATGAAATACTACATTTAGTAAGAAATTATAAGCTGAATAAAATAAAAACATCTGCCCTGAAGATAAGGACAGTGCTGACAGATCAACTTACAGTTCATTGCGCGCCGTGACCCCCCCTGCAGAACAGCATGAAATTGATAAACAGATTTTGGAATGGTTAGAGAAACAAAGGATATGCCTTTATCCATTTTTTGCAGTAATTCCACTTTTTTTTTATGGACATCGAAACATGCTTTCGCTTTGTAGATCCTTTGGCAGCTCCAGAATCAGAAATTCTTTTTGACGTAATAAAAAGTTCAAGCTTACTTTTATAAAATTGCTCCAACAGTCTGCAAAAAATAATAAGCCGGTTCCAATATTAAGTGACATAGATAATTAGATAATTTTAG